TACTGAGTTTTCATTGATGCGAAAATTTGCAACATTGACACCACGTAACGGCGACGTTCCCACTTAACTTTACACAAGTTTCTGACCGAACTTGAACATCTGTTCTCTGTGATATTACGTCTGCTTTGCAAGATAACTAATATGTGTGATCCGGATCGATGCTAAAACACGTTTACGTGCTTTTTGAGCATAGTAAGCAGTGATAATAATTAAAAGTTTATTATCACTGCTTACTATGCTATGCTGTGTTCAGATTTATGTGTCATTATGGTATATTTTGAAAATTGAAATTAAATATCAAAAGGAACATGTTTCAATTTTCATTTACTTTTTTTCCGATAAAATATCATAAACATATTTATCAGAAGAAATTATTTAGAAGTCTTTAAATGATATTTTGTAATAGTAGGTTACAATAATAGATTATCAGGAATGTGTTGCTCACATAAAACCAGCCAATTTTGCTTTCAAATAGTGGTACTCAGCATTGCTCGGATCGCTGTTCGCGAAAAATCAAGAATGAGTGAAATTGTCAGGTTTTATGAGTGAAACACAAACTTTACAAACTCTTCTTGCTACTAACAAATACAAAATATCATCATAATCAGGTAACTCTAAGATCAGCAGGTCCCGAAAAAAACGTGCTCAATTTTTTGGCTCAGCTCTAGTGCTCTCTTCGGTCCCAAGCTAATCGATACACCCCTCGAAACAGAGGAAAAATCCACGAACCCCTCATTTTATCTGTCAAACTTTCATAGCGAATCAAAACAAACATAGTGTAGTAGCAGAATTTTGACTAGAATGGGGTACGTTAATCGATTTGCTTGGGACCAATAGGCTAGTCAAGTAGTGAGCCAATTTAAAATCGTTAGTTGTTCTACTGTGATCGGTCAAAAATTCTTGGTAAACAAAAAAGTCAGCTGATCCACAGAGAACAAACGTCCACCTTCCACCAGAAAACTTATGTAAAGATAAATGGGAACATCCCCACACGTATCCAAGCATGGGAAAAATCGTTCCATTTTGCATTCTCAAGTCACTCACACGCATACAACATCAGAAACGAACAGCAGCTTGTGCGAGTCGCACTGATTTCGTTCGTATTCGCATTGCTTCTATTTTCTTCGATGAATGCAGAATTGAGCAAAACAGACAGCTGAGCGCCACATGAATGATTCTGAGTGTAGTAGTGTGGATGATTCCTCTCTTATTATTTTTCCATGCTGAGCCTTTTACGATTGCATTCTGCTGAGTGAGCTGAATGAGAATTTTGCAGAAAGAATCACTATTTATTTCTAGCTTTAAACATACATTGACACATTTAAATCGCTATTATTATCGAGAAAACTGTTATACTGTAACACATAAACATAAGCGTCACGCAAATAACTTAAAACTGCTGTGGCCAATTCAACTGATTTTAATCAGTGAGCCAAAAACTATCTGACTCGGCTATTTAAATCGTTAGCATTCGGATTTTATGCATTCAATCTGGTTCTCCCTCGCTAGAGAATATTGTTCGGCAGCCTTTCAGTTTATCCTTCTTTCCTTCTACTGCTGTCAGTTCTGGGTCGAGCTGCAGAGTCACTTGGTAGGAAAAATTTACACTCGTTCGGCAATCTGTTTGTAGGCGAGGATGGCTATTTTGATTCTGTGGTGCTCGCGCGAGTGAATGAATTTTCCCATGCTTGCACGTATCAATATATTGACGTGAAGGAGAATTATTGACAATAATATTGATGATGTGAACACAGAAATATTGTCAATATCGATGAATTGACGTCAATATAAAATGTATTGACAATACGATTATTGACAATAAAAGCAATCGTGTACGGTCCACTTAATAGATGAGCCTCGGTGAAAGTAGCGAGGTAGCAACCCGGCCCAACCATATCCTGCTGTTCAGCATAATTAATCCAGTCTATCCTATTACCACAGAGAACAGACGTCCAACTTCGGTCAGAAATTAGTGTAAAGATAAATTCCTACTTATCGCCGTTACGTCGCGCAAGCATCTCCTGATTTCGTCAATAAATTTTCCACTTTCGACCAATTTGGCGCTAGTATCGATACATTTTCTGTTGAACTACCAGCACTTAGTGTCTAGTGTAAATTGTGCAACGCCAGCGCCATCAGGTTTTCAAAGAGGGTTTTTAAGTGGGGAAGTCGCCGTTAGTGACGCTTAAATCTAGAAATCTTTACACTAGTTTTTAGAGAAATTTCTGCATGTGCTGCTGCAATGAAGCATATTCCCTGTCCCCCAGGGGCCACCATATTGGATTTTGGTTCACCACTTTTTTTCCACTTCCCCTCATAGAGCCCATTCTGTTGATACCCATATTGCAAGGGTTTAGATGTATATTCCCTGACCAGGGGCCGCTTTATTGGATTTTGGTCCGCCATCTTGGATTTCAAATGGCAGCGGATGTCAATTTTCCACTTGCACTTATCGAGCCCATTCCGCAGATACCCATATTGCAAGGTTTAGATGCATATTCCCTGTCTGGGGGCCACCATATTGGATTTTGGTCAGCCATCTTGGTTTTGTAGAAGCCATCTTGTGTTGAAATCCACCATTTTAATTTCATCCGGAATGTTGACTTGAATTTCGGAATGGCCCAAACTCTAGAATTTAACATATCTTCTAATCCTATGGTTTTCGATAATTTTGATCTTGGTTGATATTGATGCTGGTTGATTTTGCGAATCGAAAATCACGGCTGATATTGGTCAAAAATCACATGTAATGGTGGTGATAATGGCTTGTGATATTGGTGCCTGTGATTTTAGGTGATATTGATCTTGAAAGATTGCTGATTTTAATTTTCTGATCTTGATTTTAGCCAACACTGGTCCTAAACCAGCCTTTTTGGAAGCCGGCGGAGGAAACGGATTTGCACCACCGAATTTTTCACCGCCCGAATTTCATCCGTCGGAAAACTGGAAACCAACACTGGCCGGAACACACGTCGGACTGATGAAGGACGCACCGCTAACCCGAAACGGACCAACCAACTTCATTCAACCGGCAAAGCCAAAGGGAGCAATGATGATGGTCTACGGACTATATAGCAATATAGTCATCATCGATAACCTGTTCAATCTGTTCTGCCTTTACGGAAATGTTGTCAGGATAAAAATTATAACCATGGATGCCAAACAGTGCCAATGACTGTGCCCAGGTGTGCCTAAACTTATTTTTGGCCCACTGTGCAGAGTGACCAGCCCCTTGATAACAATAGAAAACAACATATCAACCGTTTAGCGCTCAAAAGTAAAGGCCCGGAGACCCCGATTTTTACCATACGGTGGTTCTACCTTTAATCAACCTTCTTGATATGTGTCTTTGTAATTAGGCAACTGGAAACCCTACTTTCTGTAATAGATCCTTACATGAGAGAAATCAAGCACAAGTGAAAACAATTCAAGCAGGAGACGTGCACACAAAATGCACTTAACTATTGTTAATAACTAATAACTACAGTCTTATAAAATCGGATGTGATCAAACAATTCTACAACAATTCCATCTACATACTTATGTGCTAACCTTTTTCAGTTTATAAAAATACTTTCCATTCACCCTTTCTGTTTTACCTAAAAAGTCAACTATTGTTAAAAAAAAACAAATGAAAATGAAAACTTACATATAAGCTAAGCTGTTAATGGCACACACTTAAAAGTGAAAACAACCTTGAGAAAATGGAATTTTAATTAATGAGAAACATAGAATGAACCAACGGAAGTACTTAATACAATTCGTTAGCAATGCAGCACAATGATTGAGGAAAATATTAGAAGCAAAGAAAGAAGAACAATCAACAAAACATACAAACACACAGGCAAACAATATTAGTAACGCTGTACCACTATCGAAAGCAAAAACACGCAAAGAAAAAAACACAGGAAAAGTAATGTATTCTCACCTCAACTGTTGGACGTTGGAATCCAATTATTGTGTCAGCTCAATGAGAAAAGAAAAACGAAAACTATAAAACGAAAAACGAAAAACGAAAACGAACATATGGAACGCAAAACGAATGAAGAAACAGCAACGGAACGATGGACGTACCTTTTCACACATTTTGTTTTGTTTTGATTTTTTTTTTTTTGTTCTCTAGGGTGTTATGGAAACATATTTTTATAACTCTAGCATTCTTCCTTACAAAGAGTAAACTTTATTGGTTGTTCGTCTAGTAGTCGAATATAAATTGCTTAACGATTAAAGAGAAGATTTTATGTGTGTGTGTGATAAAGTCATATTTAATATGACGGACGATTGATTAGATCTATTTGTATGCAAAACGGAAAACTAACTTCACAAGATGGCTAACTCAATTTTCTAACACTCGGCAGTGTTTTCTAGATTTGTAAAAAGTAGAATAGCTCCAGCAGAAGAATTGCAAGATTACAAAGTGACCCAGCCCAGTCCTTGATTCCGCTTTACTTGGTTAGTGTTCACTTGGAGGAAGACTAAATACATGGAATAGATTTGAAACAGAGAAATTCCTCTACATCAACGAGGCTCAAAAACCACTCAGAGGAAATTGAGGTTAATTCTAGTTGTACGCAAACCGGATACACGCAAAAACAAAATATAGTACAAACAAGCACTGAGCTAAAGGCCACATTCAACGAACATGCAATCGTAGGATAGCTAACTAAAGGTAAATAGTTAAATGATCATCATCGCTCGGAAACGCACGCGAAGTGAATAGAAGGAAAACCTTATCGTACTTCCTACACTGAACGAAAATAACACGAATAAACACTGCTAATCTAACACAAAGAAAAGGGAGGGACACTTTACACAAAACAGCGCGATTTCGATTCTGATTATTATGGGCAGCAGCCGGGCAAAGCGGAAAACGCAAAAAAACAGCCAGCGCCAACAGAAACACGATAATGAGGGATTTTTTTGTTTCTCGAAAACAGAACAGGTAGTTAACCGAGGAAAAAGCACAGACGCTAATGCAATCAAACAGTGGTCTCCAGTACCTCGAATGTGAAGTGGGTCATGTCCTCCAGAAATTCGGCCGACGTCTCGAACGAGTGCGGTTCGTCGTGGTAGCTGTAGGTGGACCCCTTCAGATCCACCGTGTCGTAGTGGATGTAGTCCGGATCCTTAAGGTGGTCCGAGGCCAGCTTTTCCCCAATCAGGGGATGAGCCGTCGGAAGCGGAGGTTGATGGGTGACCTGGCTGTTGATCGGTGTCAGTGGTTGAGTTTGCTGTTGCTGCTGCTGTTGCTGCTGTTGCATCTGCTGAATGGTTTGATACTGTGGATGACCCGGTGAGGCGGACATGCCGCCACTGCCGTTTGGGGGACCACCACCGCTCGTTCCACCTCCACTGCTACCGCCGCTGACCCCTTGGGTGGTAGTAGTGCTTATGGTCGAACCGGTATAATCCGAACCGCAGGTAATGTTAGAGAGCGTGTTGGAGTTGTTGGTGCAGATCGAGAGCTGGCTGTTGATGGAGATGTTGCCACTGGGGCGGCGTTTCCGGACCGATTCCTCCGAGCTGGAAGACTTGAGGTGCTCGCTCTTGTCTCGGTCCTCGTCCCTGTGGGGGTGATAAGAAAGGGAATGTTAGTGTGTTTGACACGCTGGGTGACAGTGAAATGCAGTATTTTTAGTATTTTAGTATTTTCAAAAAAAACACTTATGAATCCAATGCTATCGGAGTCATCTTGTCCAAATTAGTGCTAGTTGACGAATTTCACGCCATCTCGACTAAGGAGTTGGCAACACCCTCTCAGATTGGTGTAAAAGATACTCACTTGATCTTCAGCGAAATATATTTGTCCGGAATCAAACCAGTTTTCCCGTTCACGGCTCCGCGCCACCAATCGTTGGAAACCTAGCAAAAACAAAATAGTCTTAGACTTCCAGAAATCGCAAGATTCGCTCGCAACGGAAACTCCTACCTGATTGTACAGTATCACATTGTCACCCTTGCGTAGCGAGAGTTCCCGTTCCGATCGTGCATTGAAGTCGAACTGTACGATCGCTTCGAACGTGTCCGATTCGTCCTCCGAGGGGTACACCTCCGAGTCCGGGTCCTCGGAGACCTGTTCCGTTGGCGAGTCACCCACGTCACTGTTTTCCGAAACAAAACAAAATAGTGTTAAATTGCTGCTTTCAGCAGGATTAGATCCAGCAACACCTACTCCTCAAAAGGTTCCGATGAGATGAACTTCTCGTACTGCATACCACCGAGATCCTTCTGGAACAGCTCCGCGTGGTAGACGATGATGTTTTTGATCAGCTCGTTGACCTGATTCTGATACTGAACCTGATCCTTGTCCTCGGGAGCCGGCATTAGGGTGGGACCGAAGCAGATGGCCAGATTGTACGCGTCCATCATGTTCTCATCCGAGTATTCCGATAAGCTGTTGGAACGAATTCGAACGATTATAGTTCAATGCATTACGAAGCATCGATCGTAGGGGTTAAGGGAACTTACTGGTTCAAAAATGCAAACAGATACCGTATCACGATCACAACGGACCTCGGCAGACTCTGGAAGAACTTCCGAATGCCCACCACGATTTCGTGTTTGGATTCAAGTTCTGTCGAGAAAAAAAAAAGTTGCAAATTTTATCGTTCTGAAATCTCTTCTCCAACCGTAGAGTTTACTCACGTGCCAACGAGACAAAGTGATCGAAGTAGATCAGCGGGAAAAGCGGTTCCCGCAGTTCGCGTAGATACAGCTTGAGCACACCGGCCACCGAGTTGATGTCCGAAGCGTCGGTCATATCGGAGAGCGGGTCGTCACCGCGCTCGAAACCTTCCTTAAAGTTACTTATTTCTACTTGAGATCCAGACACCCGGAAGATACCCTGATGATGAAGTCCTGCGGAATGGTCGAACCGTCGATTACCGTGTATCCAGCACAGGAGGCAGCAAGAAGATACTTACCAAACAAATTGATGACCCGAATGCAGCTTCTTAGTATTAGTGGAATCTCTTCGCCGGTGGCTTCCAGGTATTCCTCCAGCGAACCACCGAACAGCTTCGGTCGGCCGGATTTGTTCATCCGCCCGATGCGCTTCCGCTTCGGAACGTTCGACTTTGTCAGCGTATCGGTTTTGACGGCCGAGTCCTTCGTCAGCGCGCTCCGCAGGAATTCTGCCTTCGAGTCGAGCCTTGCTATTCGTGATGTGGCGAGAATGTATTCGCGAATTTTCTGTGAAAAGAGCGGTTATAATTCGAGAAGATCGAGAAAGCGATGCCCGGACTAACCGTGATGTAAAACTCTTCAATCTCGTTCTTGTCCGACCGCAGCTTGAGGGAAGCGTTTTCCGGTTTGGGAAAACCGAGAGCCCCATTCCCGAATGCCGTACTGCAGTCGTAGTCCTTTGTGTTGAGAATTTCCAGCAGGTTGATTTCGGCCGTTTCCAGTGTTTTCCAAATTTCCTCCGATTCCATCCGGAGATTGTTCACCCGCTGTTCCAGCTGAACCAGCCGGGATTCCATTTCCTGGTGGAGTGCCTTCTGCAGTTCCGGTTCGATGTCCTCTTCCTGACCTTGGAATTCAAGCCGTTTCGGAATCATGAACGCTGCACTGTGCTGTTCGAGGAACTTCTGCTTGTCGGCTCGGCTGTCCATTGAGTTGATGATGTGCGAAAGAGTGTCCGTGTTGTGCAGGACTGCTCGGCAGCGCCCCTGATCGGCGGAAACGTGCATCAAGAGCGCTCGGGAGACGACCGAGTGGAAACCGAGATCCATGCACTGTAATCAGAAAGGGAACTTTGTTAGAATGTTACAACGAAATTAACCTGAGGGGAGCAACCTACATCGATCAGATCGCTCAGATCCTCCACAAAGTACTTGTGGATGGTCGTGTTGGACGCCTCCAAGCACAGCTGGTACTCGTTCTTCGCCTTGAGGGCCTTCAGTCTTGCGTCGGTGTACTTGTTCTTGCGTTTGAGGACTTCCTTTTCGATGAGCTTGTACTTTTTGCTGCGTTCCAGCTTCTCCTTGGGAACGCTCTGCTGCAGCTTCATGCGTTGGTTCTCGGCGGCGCGGAGCTTCTTTTCGGCTTCCTTGGCCTCGGTTTGGTACGTGTGGTAGGTTTTCATGTTGGTGTGCAGCTCCTGCAGGATGCGCAGGATCTCGACGTGTGTTTCGAAGCCGATTTCGCGGCACTGGAAACGATAAAAGAGAAAGGGATATTGAGTACCGATGTATATCGAGCTTGTTGTATTATACAGCTGGATTTAGGCAATAACTCTAACCACATTGAAATTCTAAAGCTATAGAGCAAAGTGAATATAGACTGATTTTGATAGTGGAGGTACCTAGGGAACATTCAATAATTATGTAAGTAGTTTTTTTTTTAATTTTCAATCTTTTTGGTCTTTTTGGTCGTCTGGATTTGCAACTCCTGGAAGGGCTCCTCTAAAGTCTGACTCCGCACAATTCTCCAGACTTTTATTTGAATTACTTATGAACTTCACTAGACGCTAGCCATTCTATAAAGTGACTTCTGGAATCGTTGATATTTGACTATGGAGTTTAATAATCTTGGTCGTTGAGTGCAATAGATTTATTCTCCAGGTACGCTGGACACAATGGGCGCTTACATTCTTTTTGGCACAAAAACAACCTGTAAATTTTGAAATTTTGTACAGTTTCCAGAGCTTTAATGATCCCAGAAGTTTAATGAATCTTGGTAAAATCGTCTCAAATTTCCAAAACATTTATGATGTTTTCAGAATATCTCTCAGAAGCTCTCAGAATTTCCACGTATGATGATCTCTGAATACTCCTCAAGCTCTACGAACTTATCCGGGGCTTCCTGCATATCTTCGACGCCACTTAAATTTCTCCAAAGTCTACTGATCCTCTCTGAGCTCCGTGAACTTCTCTGAAGCAAGCTTACTATCTCTGAATTATACCGCAGAACCACACCTCAAGATCGCCAAAACATTTCGAAAATCATCATGCTTCTCAGCTTTTTGATCCTCTAAAACAAATCTCTTCATCAGAGGCGAACCAGCCTTTAGTCATAAAAAAATCTCTGCATCTCACTGCAACACGCTAAATTAATAAGAAGTTACGAAAGCTTCAGTGAATTTTAGTGAACTCAAGAGATGTTCAGCAAACTCTAGAGCAGATAATTGAATTTTGGAGAAGTCTCCGAAGTCACAGAGCAATTCAAAGAACTGCAAACAAATGCAAAGGAGCTCAGGGAACTTCAATCCAGCTCATGGAAGCTATGAAAAACTAAGAGAATTTGGGAGAACTTCGAGTTAAGTGCAAAATATCTACAGACTAGTTCAGAGAAACTTCGGAGAGAATTCTGCACAAGTTCTGAAGAATTTAGGGAGTAATCCATGGGAACTTCATAAAAGTTCAAAAGCACTACAGACTAGTTTAGCTTCAAAGTAGTTCACAGAAACTTTGGGAGAATTTCAGGGAAACTTGGGGAGAAGCTTTGGGAAACTTAAGGAGAAGCTTAACCAAAGTTTGATAGTAATGTGGGAAAATTTCAGAACATCAGGGAGACTTGAATTTTGGTAGAAGTTCAGGGAATCTCAAATAAGTTCAATAAAAATATTCATGGAGAACTTCGGTAAAAGTTTTTTGGAGTACTTGGGCAGAAGTATCTGGAGAACCTCGGTAGAAGTTTCTGGAGAACCTCAGTAGAATTTTCTGGAGAGCTTCAGTAGAAGTTCCTGTAAAACTTCGGTAGAAGTTCCTGTAAAACTTCGGTAGAAGTTTCTGTAGAACTTCGGAAGAATTTTCTGGAGAACTTCACAAGAAGTTTTTGGAGAACTTCGCAAGAAGTTTCTGGAGAGATTCGAAAGAAGTTGCTGTTGAACTTCGGAATAAGTTTCTGGAGAACTTCGGAAGAAGTTTCTGAAAAACTTCAGTAGAGGTTCTGGAAAAGTTCGGTTGAAGTATCAGGAGAACTTCACTTAAAGTTTTTAGAGTACTTGGACAGAAGTTTCTGGAGAACCTCGGTATAAGTTTCTGGAGAACCTCCATAGAAGTGTCTGGAGAACTTTGATAGAAGTTTCTGGAGAGCCTCGGTAGAATATTCTGGAGAGCTCCAATAGAAGGTTCTGTAAAACTTCGGTAGAAGTATCTGGAGAACTTCGGAAGAAGTTTCTGGAGAGCTTCAGAAGAAGTTTCTGGAGAACTTCGGAGAAGTTTTAGGAGAACTTTGGAACAAGTTTCTGGAAAAGTTTCTAGAGAAGTTCGGTAGAAGTTTCTCGTAAACTTTGGTAGAAAAAGCTGGTGAACTTCGGAAGAAGTTTATGAAGAACTTCGAAAGAAGTTTTTGGAGAACTTCGGTAGATATTTTTGGAGTAGAACTTTCTGGAGAACTTCAGCAGAAATTTCTGGAGAACTTTAGTAGAATTTTCTGGAGAACTTCGGTTGAAGTATCGGAAGAACTTCGGTAGAAGTATCTCGAGAATTTCAGTAGAAGTTTCTGGAGAACTTCGATAGTAGTTTCTTAAGAATCTCAGTAGAGGTTTCTGGAGAAGTTCAGTTGAAGTATCTGGAAAACTCCGGTAGAAGTATCTCTAGAATTTCGGTAGAATTTCTGTAGAACTTCGGTAGAAGTTTTTGGAGAACTTCTATAGAAACTCTTGGAGAACTTCGGTAGAAGTTTCTGGAGAACTTCGGTAAAAGTTCAGGAGGATTTCGGTAGAAGTGCAAGAGAACTTCGGTAGAATATCAGGGGAATCTCGGTAGATATTCAAAGGAACTTCGGTAACAGGGAAGGGGTACTTCGGTTGAAGTTCAGGAGAACATTAGCCGAAGTTCCTGGAGAACTTCAGTAGAAGTTTCTGGAGAAGTTCGGTTGAAGTATCTGGAAAACTCCGGTAGAAGTATCTCTAGAATTTCGGCAGAAGTTTCTGTAGATCTTCGGTAGACGTTTTTGGAGAACTTCTATAGGAACTCTTGGAGAACTTCGGTAGAAGTTTCTGGAGAATTTCGGTAGAAGTTTCTGGAGAATTTCGGTAAAAGTTCAGGAGTATTTCGGTAGAAGTGCAAGAGAACTTCGGTAGAATATCAGGGGAATCTCGGTAGATATTCAAAGGAACTTGGGTAACAGGGAAGGGGTACTTCGGTTGAAGTTCAGGAGAACATTAGCCGAAGTTCCTGGAGAACTTCAGTAGAAGTTTCTGGAGAAGTTCGGTTGAAGTATCTGGAAAACACCGGTAGAAGTATCTCTAGAATTTCGGTAGAAGTTTCTGTAGAACTTCGGTAGAAGTTTTTGGAGAACTTCTATAGAAACGCTTCGAGAACTTCGGTAGAAGTTTCTGGAGAATTTCGGTAAAAGTTCGGGAGGATTTCGGTAGACGTGCAAGAGAACTTCGGTAGAATATCAGGGGAATCTCGGTAGATATTCAAAGGAACTTCGGTAACAGGGAAGGGGTACTTCGGTTGAAGTTCAGGAGAACATTAGCCGAAGTTTCTGGAGAACTTCAGTAGAAGTTTCTGGAGAAGTTCGGTTGAAGTATCTGGAAAACTCCGGTAGAAGTATCTCTAGAATTTCGGCAGAAGTTTCTGTAGAACTTCGGTAGAAGTTTTTGGAGAACTTCTATAGAAATTCTTGGAGAACTTCGGTAGAAGTTTCTGGAGAATTTCGGTAAAAGTTCAGGAGTATTTCGGTAGAAGTGCAAGAGAACTTCGGTAGAATATCAGGGGAATCTCGGTAGATATTCAAAGGAACTTGGGTAACAGGGAAGGGGTACTTCGGTTGAAGTTCAGGAGAACATTAGCCGAAGTTCGTGGAGAACTTCAGTAGAAGTTTCTGGAGAAGTTCGGTTGAAGTATCTGGAAAACTCCGGTAGAAGTATCTCTAGAATGTCGGTAGAAGTTTCTGTAGAACTTCGGTAGAAGTTTTTGGAGAACTTCTATAGAAACGCTTCGAGAACTTCGGTAGAAGTTTCTGGAGAATTTCGGTAAAAGTTCAGGAGGATTTCGGTAGACGTGCAAGAGAACTTCGGTAGAATATCAGGGGAATCTCGGTAGATATTCAAAGGAACTTCGGTAACAGGGAAGGGGTACTTCGGTTGAAGTTCAGGAGAACATTAGCCGAAGTTTCTGGAGAACTTCAGTAGAAGTTTCTGGAGAAGTTCGGTTGAAGTATCTGGAAAACTCCGGTAGAAGTAACTCTAGAATTTCAGTAGAAGCTTCTGTAGAACTTCAGTAGAAGTTTTTGGAGAACTTCTATAGAAACTCTTGAAGAACTTCGGTAGAAGTTTCTGGAGAACTTCGGTAAAAGTTCAGGAGGATTTCGGTAGAAGTGCAAGAGAACTTCGGTAGAATATCAGGGGAATCTCGGTAGATATTCAAAGGAACTTCGGTAACAGGGAAGGGGTACTTCGGTTGAAGTTCAGGAGAACTCAAGTAAGTTCGAGTAAGATTCTAGATAATGTCAATGGATCTTCGAGAGAAGGTCAGAGAAACAACGGGATACGTTCAGTGGAACTTCGTTAGTAGTGCAAGGGAACATCAGCAGAAGTTCAAAGGAACTTCGGGAATAATGCAGGGCAGTTCAGTGGATTGTCAGGAGAAGAACATCAAAAACGTACAAGGGAACTTCTGAGAACTTCGGTAGAGGTTCAGGGAAACCTCGGGATGAAGTTCAGGGGAGCTTCGGAAGAAGTTCAGAGGACCCACAAAAGAAGGTCGGGAGATGTTCTAGCGAACTTCAAAAGATATTCTAGCGAACTTTACGAGAATTTAAGGAAAAAATCAGGTAAACCTCAAGCGAAGCACAGTGGAACTTTGGGATAAGTTCAGCGAAAGTTCGTTCAAGGGAAAAATCTCCAGAAGTTCGGTAGGAATTCAGAGGAACTTTGCTGGGAGAAATTTTAATGAACTTCGGGATTAATGTAAGGGAATTTTAGGAGAGGAACTTCAAATAAGTTCAGGGGAACATCGGGAGAAATTCAGTGGAACTTCCGGAAAAATTCAGGAGAACTTCGGAAGAAATTTAGGGAAACTTCGAGTGATGACCGGTGAAACCTCGGTAGTAGTTCAGAGAAACTACCGGTGAAGTTCAGAGGAACTTCAGGTAAGGTTCAGAGAAACTTCATGTGAAGTTCAGGGGAACCTCGGTAGAAGTTCGGTGGAACCTCAGGAGTAGTTCAGGAGATCCTCAGGAAAAGTTTAGGGGAACCTTAGGCGAAGTTCAGGGATGCTTCGTGGGAACTTCGGGAGATGTTCAGGAGAACCTCGGGAGAAGTTAAGAGGAACCTCGAGAGAAGCTCAAGGGAACCTCAGGAGAAGTTCAGGGGAACCTAGGGAAACGTTTAGGAGAATCATGGGAAAAATTCAACCTCAAGAGAAGTTCGACGAAACCTTTAAACTTCGGGAGGAACTTTGGGAGAAGTTAAGAGGAACTTCGAGAGAAGATAAGGGGAACTTCAGCAGAAGTTCGGGTGAGCATTCAGAGAAGTTCGGTGAAGCTTTCAGAGAAGTTCGGTGGAACCTCAGGAGAAATTCTGCAGAAGATCAGAAGAAATTCTAAAGAAGTTTAGTGGAACCTTGTGAGAAGATCAGCGAACCTCGGAAGAAGTAAAAGGAATCTGCTGGAAAATTCACGGGAACTTCAGGAGAAGTTCAGAGGATCTTCAGAAGAAGTTCAGAGGAGCTTCGGGAGAAGTTCAAGGGCTTTTGATAGAAGTTCGGGAGAGTTTCAGGGGAGTTTCAATAGAAGTTCAGGGAATAAGGAACCCATGAGAACCTCAGGAGAAGTTCAGGGGAATCCCGGGAAACTATGTAGAGAATGTCGGAAGAAGTTCAGGAAAAATTCAGTAAAAGTTCTGGAAAATTTTGGGAGATGTTCAGGGGAAGCTCGGAAGAAGTTCAGTAGAGCTTTCGAAAAAAATATAGGGGAACTTTTAAGATATAGGAAGGCTTAAATATGCAAGAAGCTTCAGAAAAGATTGAAAAAATAGAAAAAAATTATAGAAACTTCAGGCCACTTGAATGAAATTCGGTGATGTCCCCGAGAAATTTTGTCCATGTTATATCTCAGAAATTCTTCAAGTTTTTCAGCTGACTAAGTTGTTTATTCTCAGACATTAAAAAAGCTTAATAAAGGGAATCCTAGCAAACTTGAGAACTGTTAAGCAAACTGTAGAGTATTTTCCATAACTGCTGATTAGTTTCCTGAATCAAACGGAAGTTCAGCGAAATTTAAAGATCTTGTTGAGGGAAATTAAGAGAAGTTCACGAAGCTTCAATCTAGTCTAGGAAATTACTCAGTGTACTTCAGATAATTTTAAATGACCTCAATAGAAACCAAAAGAACTTCAGAAAAGAGGCTAGGGATATGTTCAATGCAAATTCACAGAAGTTTGAGGTCGTTAAACGTACTTCAAAGAAGTTCAGTGAAGCTTCGGAAGTCTTAAACATGTGCAGTGCATGGTAGCTCAAAAAAGTTCAGAGACATTCAAAGAACATCAGCGGTGATTAGAGAACTGTAGAGGTATTTAGAGAGCTACAGAAAAATTCAAGGAGCTACAGATGTGCACTGGATAAATTAATGATGCTAAGGGAACCTGAGAGAAAATTAAGAGACCACACCAGAAGAAATTTCATAGGCGATTGAGGCTTCACAGGGATGTTCAGAAATCTTCAAAAAAATGTGGGAATTGGTGAAATTCATGAAAGGGTCCTGGGAGACTAGCCAAAGAAGATTTTAAATGCTCAGAGGATCTCAGAGTAGTTTTAAAAATCTTTATAGAAGTTCAGGAGAACTTCATAGAAGTTCAGGAGACCTTTTTTTCTTTGATTTGTTTTCCGTCTATCTTGTTTTCCGTGCTGAGCACTAATGCTACCGACGCCAGGAAACTTTTAAAAACTTCAAAGGACTGCTGAAAAATCCGTGCAACCTCTGAAAAATACTGACTGTAAATAAGTACACGGTTCCTAAGAAAACTGCACGGGAGAAGTTAGAAGAAGTATTAAGAAATCCAGAGCACATCTTTGATGTTTTGGTTACCTCAGAAAAATATAGTGATTTTCAGAAAATTTCGGGAAATCTCAAGAAAGTTAAAAACAAAACATTAGATGAGCTCTGAGTATATTAAATGGCGCAAAATATTTTTAATTTTTTCTTGAAGATTAAGACAACAACAAATCAAAAAATCAACGATGTTTTTTTTTGTTTTTGATTTGTATTTTTATGAAGTTATCAAGTTTTGGGTTTTCACTCAATACTCCTATGCGACAAGACTACCATGCGTCTTCATAGATTTATACCGACTGTAATATGGTCACGACACATGGTAGTCCATGGTATACTCATAAAACATACTCTGGACATTTTCCAGACCTGCGTCGAAGACTTCAGAGTCATCGTTGAACTCACCTTCCTGTATATCCGCTGCACATCATCCCAGACGGACTGCAATCGGGCAACGAGATGTACCGAGTAGATTTCCGACAGGGCCGCGTGATCTTTGGACAGGGACTTGGTCTGATTCACCAGCTGCTGCCAGCAGGAGTACGATGAGAACATGGGCCATTGCTCCCGTCTGTAAAATGGAAATGGAATATTAGCTTATCAATTTCATAAGCTAGGTCCGAAATCAACTTACTTCTGTCGTTGTTCCTTGTGTCGCAGCTGCAGGCTTTTGGCTAGCTTATCCAAACTTTTGCTGTAGTCCAGCTCGACCTCGCCTCGCCGTCGGAAGAAGTCCTGCAATTCCTGGATGAGCGAGATCTGCGACTCCATGCGGACATCGAGAAACTTGAGCTGCTCGTTCAGCTGCTGTCGGATGTCTGGAGGGGTTGGGGAGAAAGAGACAAGAAAAGTACAATATTTAAATGAGATGATTCATATCATTTGCTGCTTTGCGTGTGCTACACACAAAACATTGTTCTTCTGTGCATGTGTGGTTAGGTTTATAGCTTCGCAACATTGTCCGCGTCAGTAGCAAAAAGTATAACCGAACGACTATGTATGCAATTTGCTCTAATTTGATAACGACAAACGAGACAAATAAGAGGCAGAGACAGAGAGAGGGGAAGACGAAGAGGAGGAAAAACCATAACAAATAAGACAGCCCGTTCCCAGCACTATAATCAAGATCATCTTACAGCCAGTCACCGGTGGTGGCGACGATGACATGGGGTTCAGTCACCGGAACCGTAACATTGTTCTTCTCTGGGAGTAATGTGGATGGAACTTTGAATTGGCATCGTAACGCGTTTGGTAGCTTGAGCAACGTGAAATGGCGTTTTTCGCTTCTCAATGGTAAATTCATCCCGGCAGATCACCGACAGACGCACTGTAACCCTAGAAGGGCCACGAAGCTAGACCAAGAAGCATCATCGGAAAAAGGTATTAATTTACATAAACTCGATTCAATTTATTCACCTTTACCGCAGCAGTAGTGGAGCAGTGTTTGATTTTTTGTCCTCCCCATTCTTTCATTCGCCCCTCCAGTAAATGCGGAACGGATGCATTCAATTGACGGTTCTCACTGTGGCAGCCAATAGCTGCCGATAGGAACATTGAGATGTACCACGTTGACGTTGAATGCAGCCAAGAAGGAACTGGGCGCTCGACGGTCGTCCGTTGGTCTTGGGCTGCACCCACTTCCGTTGCAAGGTTCGTGATCCTCAATAAACAGACACACACACACACTCACAAGGAACGGTTGGTAAGGAAGCGACGGGAAATCTGATTTGTAGCTTATTTAAATATAGATCATTATTAGCCGGAGTGAGTGGAGTGGGAAAATGTGAAGGCCTTTGTTTGCCAATAGAGGAATAATGGAGTGGAGAGAGAGTCAACAAGCTGAGTACGTAAATGAAAGGTGAGATCTTTCGTATGGAGATTACGTATCATGTTACCCCGGTGGTGATGTATTTTTTGTGGTCGATCGTAGGGTTGATGATATGGAGTACATTTTTACATATTGAGTAACGGAGAATGCAGGTTCAGTTTCTCGTGTGAATTGATTATTATACAAGGAAAGGTCGATCTACATCTCTTACGATTGGAAGATCATTTCCCTAGCTTTCTACAAGGTCTGGGTGGTTACACAATCTCCTACAGCCCTTTTTGAAGCTAAAGGTAGCCAAAGTAGTTTGACCTTCCAAGGGGCATCTGTTTTGTTTCGCCTGTCAAAAATCCAATTCTTAACTAAACTTGATGAGACTAGTTGTAAATGAAACCTAAACTAATCTTATTTGATTTGCGCTGAAACGGTTCAGATTGAACCCAAGTGGCCACCGGGAATCAGTTATAAGCCAAAAAAAGTCCATTTTCTTTCTTTAATTGTAACAGGAAAGCCAAATTACTTAATGATTCTAAATGAAGTTCTTAAAATTTTCATGTATGTCATACTCCGGATTTTCCAAAATATTTAAAATTTCCTCAATTTCCTCAAAAAAACTATGATTTATAAAATGACTGCATTGAACTACTTAAATTGCACGGACGAAGTATCCAGCTTTCCATGCTCGGTAATGGTGGCCTGTTTGTATGAATAAATGTATCCTTCACTGTGATTTTTAACACTATCTGGTGGTGGCCATTACCGAGCTTGGAAAGCTGGATACAAAATGCCGAAATGCCTGATTAGGCCTGAACCGATTCCGGGAAACCTGTTTCGTAAGACAAGAATGTTCGCACTTAAACGTATTATCCTCGATTTAGCTAAGCACCATAGCGTATTATCCTCAATTTAAATCTCGGATTTCACTTCCGAGATTTTCAAAAAGTACGCAGCCAAAAAAAATCTGACTCTCTCTACACACACACACATGCGCAACAAATGTCATTTGCATAAATAAAAAAAAAATAATAAAGAGCAGGACTAGACATTCTCGCATTACTTTTCAATAGGTGTTAAGATATTTTCGGATTATTTCGACACAGCTCGATGAAATAAACAGCAAACGACAGGAAACGTTTTTGTAGCCGAGTTATTTACGAAATAGAGATTAGATGAAGAGAATCGATCGATCTAGCTGCTGAACTAGCTTCAGAATGTGGATTTCGTACACTGCATGAATGCCTCTGTTAATTAGCAGTACAGAAGCTTGATTTTCTTAAAGAAAAGATGAAGATTTTTGTAATCTGAAACCAGGGAAAAGTTATAAGGGATGAATCACATCCATAGGAATTATCGACTAAAAAGTAAGCTGAGCCTTTATTCAATAAAGGCTGACTAAAAGTAAATTGGTACGCCCCTCGCGCGCCGCTAGCACGCCTCTAGTGATGGGAATCGAAAATCTTTGACAGTGGTTTGTTTACACTTCTGTAGAGAACAACTGGTGCAAGTTTGATCAAAGTAGTCGATTGCGTTCAAAAATAACGTCAAATGGAACTCGAAAGAAGAAAAATATTGTGCGCAAACACCTGGAACATCCAGAGTGGTCCGGTTCCAAGCTGGCTAAAGTGCTGAACATGCCGAAAACTACAGTTTGTCGAGTGCTCAAAACCTACAAGGAAACACTGAGTGTGGAAAAAACTGGAACAAGGGATCGTCAACTGCGCAGCAAGGTGTTGAGGTGCGTTAAGCCAACTCCGGTCTTTCGATCCGAGATGTGGCTAGAAGGTACAACACCAACTTTCAAATGGTGCGGAACATCCTTGCCAGGGAAGGACGCAAGTCGTACAAAGCCAGTAAACATCCGAACCGGCACATGAAACAGAATTCAGTGGCCAAAAAGCGTGCAAGGCTCTTGTTTTGACGAAACACAAGGGCTGCATCGATGACGAAACATACGTCAAACTCGATTTTAAGCAGCTTCCCGGTTAGAAGTTTTACATCGCGACTGGACGTGGGGATGTGCGGGGAAGATTCAAGTTCGTGTTTGCCGACAAGTTTTCGAAGAAGGCCATGATTTGGCAAGCGATTTGTAGTTGTGACCTGAAAACGGAACCATTCGTTACATCCTCGACGATCACATCCCAAGTTTACATCGAAGTATGCCTGAAAAAGCGTGTATTGCTGTTCATCCGCAAGCCTAGGGGCAAAGTCATCTTTTGGCCCGATTTGGCCAGCCGCCACTACTCCAAGATGGTTCTGGAGTGGTATGCTGCCAACAAGATCGATTTTGTCCCCAAGCTAATGAATCCTCCGAATTTTCCGTAATTTCGACCAATCGAAAAAATATGTGGGGTTGTGTACACGACACGACCGCATGGTTAACGTAGACTACGTTAAGCTGTGTAGCGAAATACTCGTGCATTTGCAATACAGTATAAGTAACGTATGGTTTCTGTCCTATATACATGTTTTAGATTTCCTACTTAGTAAAACTTGGTTAACTTCAGGACCTCATAAAAATGCGAATACTTATTCTATTACATTTGGTACCTAAATTACAATCAGATATGCAGGTAGGACTTTTTTAAGGTGATTCATTGAAGTGTCCAACAATAACCGTCATGATGGCTGATATTCTCTATCACTTTAGATTTCTCGAGCACAAATCTTGGACGGTCGTGACATCACTCATGAAATTGGAACTCCTTGTGTACTGCACTGCAGCAAACGTGAAGTTCCAATTTATTTGTTATCTCGATTAGCCATAAATCCCTCCAATAAGTTCTCGTTACATCTTTAATCTACCGATTAAACAAAAAACTAAATATTGATGATTTCGTTTACGTTTTGTTGACGCACATTAGACCTGTTCATTTTAACAGAAATGTTCGGGATGCACCGGGTCAATCGTGATTACTGTTCGTCATGTTAATTTGAATTTCTGTGGAAATTTTCAGCAAAATCGATGTTTTTTATTAAAGGCAAGTGTCACTCAAGCCATCCAAAATGTTCGTTATTTTATAAATTGCTGTTATTTTCTGAACAACTATAGCGCAACTCTGGAGTACAGATTTTTGTTCTTTACGATTACTAGCGAAACAATACCAGAAGAACTCGACTTGCAGATGGTAGACAATTTCTTTCAAAATGCGGTCTTATCACACAAACTCGAGGGATTGTAGCCCTTTCCACATCTTCCATTTTGAATGACTCGAGTGACACTTGCCTTTGATAAAAAAAACACGTCTACTGAGTATTCATATTTCTAAAATAAAACTACAAGAGACATCCCCATGGGGTTGTACGCAATGGTGACGTAGGGCTACGTGGTCTTATATAACAAATCTTATTTGTTAACTGCAGCAGGAGCTTGTGTTTTGCGTAGGAATAGGAATTTGAGCGGGGTTCTCTCTGTTTGTACTCTTTAGTATGACGCGCTTGACATAGATGGCCCACAGAAACTCACGAAGAGCTACTGATTCCTATCAATAGCGGTGCGGCTACTTTCTCCTTGTGTGGATGCTCATGTGGGCATCGGTGCATTTTCTGTTGCTATGCCATGCTATGGGGGCCATCAGTAAAAAAATTGGGAATTTATCAACGGTTCTAAAGCATAACTTTCCAAGTAGGATGGACTTACATAGCTTATCTAAAAGCATAAATAGCATATAATTTCAGTGCTTGGTACAGAAATCTGTAATCTGTGATAGGGAACAGTCTTGAAAACTGTCACTGTAGAAGTCATGAAATGACTTTTATTTTACCACTCTCGAATCGGACGCTCACTCAAGCAATGTACCTAGTTGCTTTTGACAGTTGATAATGAAAGTTGGTCACTCACCGCTCCACTCAATCAGTCGTGCTGTTTACACTCTTCTTCATAGTGAGAGTCATCTCAACAGCAATTTTTCTATCAATCAGTATTGTTGACATTCGTTTACCTATCATGGTGATAATCATGACATTCATTTTTCCTATAGTAGTCTCCGGTTCTAG